ATGCATGTATCCGAGACAATGGATCCCTTGTACCTATGCGTTGCGGGCATCTGCCCGCTCTAGGGGCGGGGGAGTTCTGACGAACGGCGGGGATACCGCCGGGCGTACTCCTGACAGCAGCAAGAGGCGGGTCCCAGGGACGCAATCGTACCCATTGGGCGGCAGGTTTGCAACCCGTACCCTAGCCTTCACTGGCCAAGGGTGGACAGGCGGCCACAACGCATAGGTACTGCGCCCTGCTACTCACCATTCCACCACTAGTGTACCCTTGCACCCCTCCTTCCGGTCATCGCCTAGCACTTCCCCTTGCCCCGTTCGCCACCGCTACTTCCCCACCACACCCCCCTAGTTAGCTCGAGCCTTGTGCTCACCATGTACAGCCGAACACCCACTTCTTACTCACGTCGATAGTATTTGTAGTTTAAGGCCTACCATGAGGCGCGGCCTCGCAGGGCAATAAACGGGATCTAGAAAGAAAGAAAGAAAAGCTGGCTAGACTCCGCCATGGATTTCCATCAGCGTGGCGGAACGGAGTGGGAACTGCGAACTCTCGCGGTTTGGTGGGATCATTTCCTGGAAACACATCGAAACCTCCCATCGCATGACTGGCAAAACAATGTCAGGCTGCGTCGGCTCTACGACATGAAGCGCGAAGCGCCACAGCATGTTTCCGGTACACCGTGGCAGAGCACACAGACAAGCCCAATGTCTCTGCCTCCGACATCAGCAAAACTAGCAAACCATGGTCTCTGTCACAGTTTTCTCGTGCCACTGAAGAAGTTCGAGGGCAAGCGGGCACAAATGGGATTCGCGTTTGGCCGGTGCAAACGCGTGCCGTACACAGTAGATACAATAAGGCTTATATACGTAGCTAAATAGGGGTAGATAAGGGCGCGGGTATCCGTCGGGGGGCGGGACCTGTGGCGCTCGTTCCGCGAGCTCGCCATCTTGACGCCAGGATTCCAACACATCCCCTCGAGCGAGCGCGGGCAACGAGCGAAGGGTAACAAACAAATGGAACGGGCGGGGATAAGGGAAACAGCGAGCAAGGAAGGAGGGTTGTGTCCGCACAAATAAGGGATAACGTACGATAAGTCTAA